ACTACCATTATCGTGCAAACTACGTTGGAAATGACGTGGTATCGCCACTGTTTACTCCTCCACACTTTCAACACGGCAACATTTAGGTACATCGCTTGCAGCCACAACGATACAGTGTTAAAAAATACATCTATTGCTAGACCAGTAACGCAACGAGCCAAGAATTGCCAGATGAGACTCTCAAAGTAACCATCAGGCGTTTGGAAGTCATCTAAGTACATGCAATTGTACAACCGACTGAATCCTACTGCTGACACTAGGGCGTTGGCTTCGGTTAGGACAAGTTGAATGCTAACGTCTGCAACAAAACGCATACTTCGAGGGGTGCGGGTTATGCCTGCTGGAAAATCTCTTGGGCGTGATCTGCAGCAGCGAGAGAGTAGTTTGTAGGCGTATTCCCAGATGTAATCCCTCATGGAAACTGTTAAGCGCTCTATGAGGTCAACCACAGCATGACCAGCGCCCAAAGCGACAAATAACCAAAAGCTTACCAACTCTGCCTGCATAACACGGAAGACAAGAGCTGCTGCAGTATATAAAGTACCTATCAAGAGGTGCAAAACTCCAGGGTGAACTAGGTTGAACTTTGTTACGGCTGTGCGAAGAATCACTTTCGGGATCGATAGAAATAACGGGCTTAAACCTGCGATGAACACTTTCTCAATCTCCGATTTTTCGTTATACCATGGGAAGATCTTGTAGACGAGTAAGAAACAAATAGGTATACCAAATATAAACTGCAAGGCTAGAAGACCTGTAATCTTAGATAGGGTCTTCTTGGAGTACAGATGCTCGGGTATAATATGCTTAGCTATGATCACGCTATTCGTCATCACCATTGATGCAAACAAAACATTTAGGGGAAAACTCATCCACGAGTGTTTGTAGATACCAAATATTTGTAGATACAGGCGATAGCAACAGTCGGTAAAAGCAGCAAGGAGATTAACCGTGAAAAGGTTAAGCTCTTTCATAAATGAAAAACCAAATATACATAACATT